TTATATTTGTGTGGCTTAGGTTAGTGTGTAGGTCGATTGTGCTTATTCTTAACCTCAAGTTAGGTTAGGTAGTTGTAGCCATCACCCTGCCCATAGATTTTGTTGCAACAAGTTCGAAATCCTCCACAAATGTCCAAATACACCTCCTCTTTCTCTGGTTACTACTTTCACCCTCGTTTTCCCCCATTCTCGGTGCATGGAAGCGTTCCGTCTTTCTGCAGGTAGGTTTATCCTTTCAAACATAATAGTCAAAATATGATGTTCTATTGTTACTATGAAATATGCTATACTAAATAAATAAAAATCATTTTTATATTCTCTTTTTACGTAGTGTTGGTGAAGAATTAGTTATTTAGTGAAAAATAGATAATTATAAAAATGAGATAATTAATAATTAAATTATTATTTTTTTATAGATAATTCCGAAAAATATTTAATTAATTTTTCATATATGGATTATTTTATATTTAATATATAAAGTAAGTCATTAAGAACATCTTCAAAAATTGATAACAATAATTGTTTAACAATAAAAATAAATGAATCTACACCTAAATTGCTTAAAATTAAAAAAAATTTAACAAAAATTGTTTATCAATAAAATAAAATATTTTACTGTAAAATTTACTGTATGAATTATTTAATATTTAATCAAAATTATTTATATAAGATATTTTTTTCTATTTTTAAATATTTTTTTAATTTTAAGTAATAATTTGAGACCCGTAATAATATTTTTATTTTTATTTTTATTTTTATTTTTAAACAACTTTATTTTTAAGATGTTATTCAAACTAGAAGAAACTGATTTTTATAAACCTGATCAAATTTTAAACAATTTTAATTAAATTTTAAGTAACTTATACATAAAATTATAATAAAATATTTATATTTATTCTTAAATAACTTTTACTAAAACTCTTGTCATAATTACAGTTAAATAGACTTATACATATTTTATAAATAAAATATTAATTTATATTTATAATTTCGTTATTAATGTTTTTAAAAATATATAAATTATTAAATTGATAAAGATACAAATTGATGATTTTATTGAAATTAAATTTTAAATAAAATATAAATTTATATTCAAAACTTTGTTATTCATATTTTTATAATTGAAGAGTGTAGCATCTAAACGTTGAACGTGATTCAAATGGCTTTATTAAAATAATATATTTTTATAAAATAATAATATAACAAGTTCAATAAAAACAATAAATTGTTCACAAACAGAGAAAAGCGATACAATATAATTATACTTATTATCATAATAATAATATATTATAAATATAAACTCCAGTTATTTTTGGTATAAGAATTCAAGAGGAGGTTGATCTTGTCATCTTGACTTAATTTTTTTTATTTAAAAAAAATTCGAGTCGATAAAATATATAAAATAGGTGAAAGTTAAATATATACAATAAAATAAAAATGATAACATTGATTATAAGTTGAATCCATTGTATGGTTTGATTTAGTTCAATATATGGTTACAATTAAACTGATGAATTTAATTTAGTTCGACTAAACCTGTCTGATTAGTTTTAATATCAATCAGTCAGTTAAATCAACTAATTTCTTTTGGGTTGAAAAAAATAATAGATAAATATTTAATTAACTTTTATATTTAAAATATAAACTAAGGTCTTAAATATTCAACGTTCTAATATATATTTGAGACTAAGTGAAGTAATAAAATATAAACTAATATTTATATATATATATATATATATATATATATATATATAATATTCATAATAAAAAAATAAAATTGGTTAATAAAATTAAAGATATTAAAATTGGATAGTCTATCCCATTTTAATTCCTTACATACCTGATAAGTTAAAAATAAGATAGAAGTGATTAATCTTTATAATTAGAATAAATTATTTATTTTAATCTTTCTTATCAAAACTAGGATAATAACCAAGTTTTATATATAATTTTTTTATAAATATATCCTTAATTATTTAAATATTTTTAAGATTTTATTTATTAATAAATATATTTTATTAAATAGATTATTATTATAAAATACTTAATTATAATTAAAATTTTAAATTTAATTGATTATTATTTCTAATTTAAATTATAATATAATTAAATATTTTAATAATATAATAAAAATTAATATTTTAAATTATAATATTTTTTATTTTAATATATGGATATTCATTTAACGGGATGGAGTCTATTTCTTCCTTTATCAGTCATACGGGTAGATTACCAAAGGCTGAGGATTATAAGTAAGTAGAATAAAAAAAATTAATCAATATTTTTAAAATTATATTTAGAGTGTTGATATTTTGACAAATAAATGGAGTTGATGAATGAATGTATTTGATAGTGGGTTTTAATTTTTTTTTTTCTCTCTTTATTATCACAAATGTGCATATACTCGACGATCAAACATGAAGAAGCCGCTGAGGTGTGTTGAACGTTTGTGCTTCAATCTTGATTCATGCGTATTTGTGATCTTTTGCTTTTTGAAATATATGTTTTTCTTTTACAATCGTTGAGTCTCAGTGAGTCATTATTGACGATGATAACTTGGTAAATTCAACATTCATAGTGGATATTATTCAAGACATTGATTTTAGACGTGTAAAAATGGACATGTCAAAGAGGAAGACATAGAGTTTAATTTAAATGAGTTCAAAAAAGAATTCGAGAACAAAATTTATCCTCAAACAAAGATTTTCTCGTCGAATTTTTAATCCAAAAAAAAAAGAAAAGGATGAAGACGTAGCATTATATCCACAATGAAGCACGGTATTTGACAGATCGGCTGCTAAAGCCTTTAGGAAGAGCAAATAAAAAAAATGATTGCAACTGTTTTTTATTCCTTGGGATAGAAATGTCTAATATTGCTTTTGCTTTGTTTTTATCGATCTCGATCTCTTTTTCATGTATTAAGAATCCTAAAAACTCACCAATAGACACACCAAAGACATATTTCAAAGGATTCATTTATAAATTATATTTCCTCATTCTTTCAAAAGATTTTCTTAAATTATCTAAATATTCATGTGTTTTTCTTCGATGCAACAACAATATCATCTATATAAACCTGTATGAAATCATTAATCAAATCGTAAAAAATTAAATTCATTGTTCTTTAATATGTCACCCCGGCGTTTTTCAATCCAAATGACATCACTATCCATTCATAAGTATCTAATGCCCCTGGGCATGGAAAAGCTGTTTTAGCTATATCATTTTGGGCAACAAAAATTTGATTATATCCTGAATATCCATCTAAGAGACTTAAAATTTTGTTACCAGTTACCACATCTATTAACATATCAGCTATTGGCATAGGATATTCGTCTTTGTGAAAATTTTGGTTGTTTTAGATGTCCTAAAGACTTAGGTTCTAACCAAATTTCAACCACGTAAATTCTTTTTACTTAGGCTAGCAAATAGTTTTTCAATCAAAAAATGTATGTAAATCGAAAATATCAAAGTATCGAGCAAAATGGATGAAATAAAGCATAAATATTAGAAATGCGGAAAACGTAACAAAGCATACATATTGAAATCGAAAGTTCTTATTTTTGTATTTTTTTATTAAGAAACTCGAGAATATGAAGAGTTAACAGAAGTAAAGAAACAGTAAAAAGGTTATCGAAGCAAAAAGTAGTACATAAAGTTAAATTGCACTAAGAATAAATGACATAAAATTAAAATTACACTAAGAGTAATCGAAATCACTGGAAAGTACAAGAAAGTAAATTACACGTGCAAGTAGATAAATTACCGGGAAAGTACCAAAAGCGGTAATAACAGTCAATGAAAATGGAAATCCAGATTATCAGAAACTTCATGATTCGTCGTTCTTCGGTAGACTTGTTCACTTGTGTTTTTGTTCTCTCTGCCAATTTCCATTTTCATTGACTGTTGTTACAGCTTTCTATACTTTCCCTGGTACTTTATCTTTAATGCAATCTAATTTTACGTGTCTTTACTTTCATGTTATTTCAATTCATTGTCATTTATACTTATACAATTTTAAGATTCTGCATTTACACTTAACGCAATACATCTTTGTCTCGATATCTTTTAAAGTTTTCTTTACTTTCCCGGTAATTTATCTACTTGCACGTGTAATTTACTTTCTTGTACTTTTCAGTGATTTCGATTATTCTTAGTGCAATTTTAATTTTATGTCATTTACTCTTAGTGCAATTTATCTTTATGTACTACTTTTTGCTTCGACAATCTTTTTATTGCTTTTTTTACTTTCGTTAAATCTTTATATTCTCGAGTTTCTTAATAAAAAAATACAAAAACAAAAACTTTCGATTTCAATATGTATGTTTTGTTACATTAAATCTTTATATTCTCGAAGTTTCTTAATAAAAAAATACAAAAACAAGATCTTTCTATTTCAATATGTATGTTTTGTTACATTTTATGCGTTTCTAATATTTATGCTTTATTTTATCTATTTTGTTTGATATTTTTGATTTACATACCATTTTTTTTTATTAAAAAATTGTTTGATAGCTTAAATAAAAAAATTTAGGTAGTTAAAATTTATATAAAAACTAAGTATTGAATACATAGAAAACAACCAAAATTTTCCCCGTAAACACCAACCAACAATAAAACAAATTAAAAAAAGCGGGTTGTAGGAATTTGGAAATTTCATTCAAGGAAATGTCATCGCAGGCGGTGGGAATGAAACTTTTCCACCAACTTTTCTTGACTAAAGAAACCGTGATTTAAGTGGGAAGTAATTTACCTGGAAATGAAATATGCCTGGGAATATACTATTTTGTAATATTCTACCAAGCGTTAAAATTACAATATTTCATCTTTGTATTCCTGTTATTTAAATTTGCACCTCATTGAACTCATCTGAGAAAGTGCACTGTTGCAGAGTGAAGAGTCTAAAACCAAACACCTTCTTCTCCCTTCCTCTTTTTTTTCTTCGTTTTTTTTTTTTAAATAGTCTCTGCGTCCCCTTAATCAATTAATTGTAAAATCCAATGGTGGACGGCACCAAAGCCAAAGGAAACGCCGCATTCCCCACCGGCGACTTCACCACCGCCGTCCGCCATTTCTCCGTCGCCCTCGCCCCCTTCAACCACCATTGGACATTACACCGAGGATTTGGAGTTGGATGATGAGGATATATCCTACCTTACTAGTCGTACTGCTGTTTACTTGGAGATGGGAAGGGTATGATGCTGCAATCTCAAGTTCTACATATCTTGCAAGCATCTTTCCTCCTTTTAAAGAAGCACTCTTAACCAAGTACTCTGCTGGCTATATATTTCTTATTTATCTGATGAAAAATTTAACTAACTTTATATATTCTGGAAACATTGAAATTCAGGAAATGAATTATTCAAGCAGCAGAAGTATCCTGCGGCTATGAATACAGAAGCTATAAAAAGGAACCCAAAAGATGATCCTAAGGTAATTATACTCATTGACAAGCGATCATAATCCAATATGTATAATAGCACATGCAGGTCCTGATCTGTTTTAGATATCCCTTTTCTTTTAAGCTTACAGTAACAGAGCTGCTTGCTATACTAAACTGGGGGCAATGCCTGAAGGTTTAAAAGACGCGAAGAAATGTATTCAGCTTGATCCAACCTTTTCAAAGGGCTAAAATAGAAAAGGTGTACGGCAATTTTTGATAAAAGTATATGACAAAGCTATGGAAACATTCAAGGAGGGATTGAAACATGACCCTAACAATCAAGAGTTGCTTGATGGCATCAGAGGGTACGGTATTATACTACTTTTCTGCTTTTTGTGGGTTGAATATTGTTACTTTCCACATGCACAACGATAATGCACGCGGCTAATCGAATATAGTATCATACATTGTAGAAGTGCAGAACAAATTAGTAAGGATGGAGATTTTACTCATGAGGAGTTAAAAGAGAGACGAGTGTACCTTAGGCACTGATAACATTTGATGTCTATTGACTAGATCATCAGAATTGGGCAATTCATGTGTGCATGCATTTAATTTAATGTTGTTGCGTGCCAAGGCAATGCAAGACCCTGAGATACAGAATATTCTTCAAGACCCTGTTATGAGACAAGTATGCTTCTTTGTCGATTGAATGTTGCAATGTATTGTGACAATGTCATAGAAAAATAGTAGTTGTGTTAACGACAGTAGGGCATATGTGCAGGTATTGATTGATTCCAGGAAAATCCTAGATCTGCAGAGGAACATACAAAGAATCCAGTGGTGATGAACAGAATTCAAAAGCTCATCAGGGCTGGGATTGTCCAGAAGAGATGAATTTGATTGAAGGCGGCAGTCATGCAGAGAAACAACTGACAAATGTACTTTCCAGAGACATGATAATTCAAATAGACAGATTGGATTGAAAAAAACGAGGAGGACAATTTGCTGTTGGGAATTTTGGCCTGGGAAATTCATATTCGATGTGCATGTCAAATGCAGACCATTCTTACTCTTTACTGGTGCGTACAGCGTGCTGTCGCGGATTAGTTATTGTCCAACATTGTGCAACTTTTCTTTTCTTTGGCAACAAGAAGTTTGGTTTCAAGTGTACGGAATAGTTAGATAAAGCAGATTCGGAGTTTTGGTAGTTGCTGATTTGACTTTGAGTCTTGTAAGAACTGAGAAACCATAGACCCATGCCATTTCTGGCGTTTTGGCTGTCGTACGGGAATCAAAATTGGCTTCTCATTAGGGGGAAACGAAATCTGAAAGTCAACCAAAACTTGTAATTTGAAAGCTAGTTTTACACTGTTGAATTAAGGGTGGAATTCAATTAATTTTTCATATACAAATCAAAGTTATTTCATGGCTTATTTTTGCTCTTGTTGAGATAATATTTTGCATTTCAGTAATTTTGTCTTCAAATTCAAACTTTTTCCATTAATAGTTAATCAAATAATGTTGCTTCGCAATCTTTTATTACATCAAATCGGAATAGTGCTACCAAAATTAGGTAAATAAGTTGCCAAGATCATTTGGTAGGTACTGCTATATACATATTGGAAAAATCATCATCACGTGGACAGATTTCATTTGTAGTTTGTATTAAAAAGTAAAGATCGTTAAGTAATTTTGGGTTCTCAAAAGGGTTTTGCAAATCCAAGTTTCCACGCTTTGTGTTTTACCCCCCTAAACAACAAAAAATGCATTATTATTAGCCCCAACATCAGTTCATTCTCTCCAATATTGTGGAAGAAAAATCGTTTCCTATTTTTCTTCTGAAATTTTTGTTGGCTAACCTTGTATTGGTACAAGGAAAATTACAAAAAATAAATACCAAAAACAACCCAACTATTTGACAAAGGACATAATACAACTATCAAAGGTCAGAAGTTCCTTGTTAGGAGACCAAGGAAATACATTAAGCGGCAACTTCTTGCTCTTTTGAGGCAAGTTGGTTCTGAATGTGCTGTGGCACCACATCAAACATGGCTAATTGCATTGTGTAGGATGCACGGCCCTTTGTCATCCCCCTAAGTGTGCTGACGTACTGGAACATCTCAGCAAGAGGTACCAGGGAATCAACCACCTGCGTTTGTCACCAACAAAAGGAAGAAATGGATAAGTCCAGCTCCAATCCAAATAAAAGCATCAACAATCCACTGAAAAAAGAACATGAATGTTGTCCTCGTTCATCCTAGTCACTTGTATATCCATGTGTTCTTAGACCTAGATTGAACTCAAGACCTTTGAATCAACACTACTCAATCCTACTACTTGCACCAATCCGATAGGCAAAAGTTTTCAATTACAATCAACCAATATGATAAACAAGAGAGTATTCCCCTAAGTTCTATACACGTATTATTCCTTTTATGATCACACTTTATGGGAAGGTCCATAGGGGCTTTTTGTGAGATTATGAAGGATGATGTTGAGAGGAGTTTTTTTTTTTCTTTTTTTGTCTTGTTTTCACTTTTCCTTTCTTGTAATTTTGGGTGTTGCTTCATAAATGAGAATTGTGTATAAAATATATGAATTTGGAAACATTGTGCGTTTTCTAACAAACAAAACAGCACAAGAACTTTCGAGTCATACCTTCAAATTTTATAGAACAATCCAACAAGAAGTTTAATAGGATAATTCAAGAGAACCAAGTTACTTAACATACCTTAAGGCCACCTGGTTTGTCACCAAAACTGTTGATCTGTCCTCTTCTTGAGTTGAGATCACCAATTACATCACCTAGATGTTCTTCAGGAGTAACAACTTCAACCTTCATTATAGGTTCAAGCATCCTCGGTCCGGCTTTTCTAACTCCTTCCCTAAATGCTCCTCTTGCTGCCAACTGGAATGCCAACACACTTGAATCTACATCATGGTAAGATCCATCTACGAGTACTGCTCGTACATCAACAACTGGAAAGCCAGCTAGCACTCCGTTGCTCATACACTCTTCCAATCCTTTCATCACCCCAGGAATGTACTCTTTTGGTACAGCACCTCCTTTGATTTCACTCTTGAACTCATATCCACTACCAGGATCCATGGGTTCAAACCTTACAGTGATATCTGCAAACTGACCTTGTCCACCTGATTGTTTCTTGTGCACATACTTCACTTCTGAAATTTTGGAAATGCTTTCCCGGTAGTTTACTTGGGGGGCACCAACATTAGCTTCCACCTGCATTAACAAATATAGATAATGTGATTTTCATAAAATAGCATTATTGCTATACAATCCACAAAATATGTAAAAAGAATTTAGCATAAGACTACTAAAGGAAGAGAGAAATGAGGAAAGGGAAGAGAAGAAAAGGTCATGCCAAGGAAGCAATCATATAAAAAAAGGAAAAGAATAGTACAGCAAAGAGATATTAATGCTTTATCAGATGATATACATAGTTTTTATCAAGGGTTAGCAGTCATGTCTCATAAAAATCATAATTTTTTTAAGGTTCTTGACTCCTTTGTTCTTCTTATACGGGTAATAGTCATTATTCAAAGCACAAACAGATTCCATTATAATCTAATGTGATAATGTCCATGTTTATTTATTATTATTACTCTAATTGTAACTATTTCATGCACAGCATCAAGATTGGAGTTAAAAGGTTTAAAGACAAAAACAGATAATAAAATACAACCATGCTAACCGATCATGGAAAATTCACAAAAAAGAAATAAAAGATATTACCTTAAATTCTCTTTTTAGCCGATCAACAATGATTTCAAGATGTAATTCTCCCATTCCCTCAATCACAGTCTGGTTTATCTCTTCATCACGGGAGAAATGGAAAGAAGGGTCTTCCTGTGCAAGCTTGATTAAACCAGTTGCCATCTTGTCAACATCAGCTTTAGTCTTGGGTTCAATTGCCACCTTAATAACAGGATCAGGGAAGTCCATTCGCTCGAGCACGATTGGATTATCAGGGTCACACAATGTTTCACCTGTAATAGTATCTTTCAAACCTGCAAGAGCGATAATATCACCTGCCAAAGCTACTTTCACATCCTCTCTGCTGTTTGCATGCATTTCTAGAAGTCTACCAATTCTCTCCTTTTTCCCTTTGTTTGAATTGAGTACATAAGACCCAGCACTTAGCTTTCCAGCATATACCCTGACAAATGTAAGGGAGCCTACAAATGGATCACTCATGATCTTGAAAGCTAATCCAGCAAAAGGTTCATCATCACTTGCTACCCTCTCTATTATCACTTCTGGGTTTTCTGGGTCGCTGCCCTTCATTGCTGGCAAGTCAAGTGGTGATGGTAGATAATCAACTACAGCATCGAGCAACGGTTGGACACCCTTGTTTTTGAAAGCTGAACCACACATCACTGGAACAAAACTGGCTGCTATGGTTCCCTTCCTAATTAATTTTTTTATAGTTTCTTCATCCGGTTCAATTCCTTCCAGGTAGTTCTCCATAGCCTGGTCATCAAACTCAACTATGGTTTCTATCATCTGGGATCGGTAATCTTGTGCCTGCTCTTGAAGATCTTCTGGAATATCTATAATCTCAAACTTGGCACCCAGCTCTTCTCCAGACCAAACTATAGCTTTCATCCTAACAAGGTCTACAACTCCCTTAAAGCTATCTTCTGAACCAATTGGTAACTGAATTACAAGTGGGTTAGCACCCAAATTTGTTACTATCATGTCTCTTGTTCGATAAAAGTTTGCTCCAAGACGGTCCATTTTGTTAACAAAACAAATTCGTGGAACCCCATATTTATCAGCCTGCCTCCACACAGTTTCTGATTGTGGTTCAACACCAGCAACACTGTCAAACAAGCATATAGCTCCATCCAACACCCTAAGAGCTCGCTCCACTTCTAAAGTGAAGTCGACGTGACCAGGAGTATCAATAATGTTGATCCGATGCTTCTCCCAGAATGTAGTGGTTGCAGCAGAAGTAATGGTAATCCCTCTTTCTTGTTCTTGTTCCATCCAGTCCATGGTTGCAGTTCCCTCATGCACTTCTCCAATTTTGTAGTTCCTTCCCGTATAATACAAAATTCGTTCAGTCGTAGTAGTCTTTCCAGCATCTATGTGAGCCATGATACCTATGTTGCGATAATCTTTCAATGGAACACTCCTCTTTGTGTCTGGAAGCAAAGTTAAAAAGGCTCCTTTTCAAAGAATGAAAGAAAGCAAACCACATTTCTAGTCTCACAGAATAAAATTAGATAAAAAATACGAAAAACCATTATATTTTAAGATACTGTATCTCACTTAAAACCTTAATTGAACAGATAAATGATAGTTTTCTCCCTAATATCATAACCGAAGCCAAAATTCAAGGATAACACACAAATTTTAAGCATTATACTAAATTGAAACAAAACCAAAAACGAAAATTGTAGAAAAAAAAAAGTTTATGTATGACATTCATTTTGATTTCTCTCAAGAAACCAAGTCCACATTGAAAACATTAGCGTAGTCGCGAAGCAGAATGGAAGTTAGAAAACAATAAAAACAAAACATTAGAGAAAAGGAGAGATATACCATCAGCGGCCATGGCGAAAATAGAAAAGGGTCTTCTGGGAGCATGTTGGCGTGGAAAGGGAGAATTGGAGTTAATGCGTGTGCTCCCGAAAAAGTGTGAGAGGGAAGAGGAAGTGAGAGAGTGAGAGGGTCGTGGGCGAAAACCCATGAAGCGAAGTGGAGAGAGAGGGGTTGGTCTTCTCTGAGACCCGTTGAGGTTGCAAAGAGTGGTTGTCGCCACCCGGAGTGATGAATCTGCCGCCATATTTTGAGCTTCTTCTCTTCCTCTGTTCTGTTCTGTTGGTGTGGTGTTTGAGATAACAAACCCCCCACACACACACACTCACTCACCCCTGTCCTCAAGTTTTCGGTAAGGACTAGGCAGAAAAGATAGTGTCATCTATTCCCTTGTACTTGTATATATACATAAAATCATTTATTAAGGTATATATATATATATATATATATATATATATATATATATATATATATATATATATATATATATATATATATATATAATTAAAGTATTTTTATTTAACGAAATTAAGCTTCACCATAAATAAATTTAATATATGAGACTGTAGTTTGAAACAAAATATACAATTAGCTTACATGGTTTGAGTTTTCAGGTATCTATTTTTCATGGTTGGGAAATAAAGGCAACGTGGATAACAATAAGCCCTCTTTTCTGAGTAGGGTTGTCATTCCAGATGATTGAACTCATTCTCTTATATGAACCACTAGTTATCAAAACACTCAACACTGAACATTGGATTTTATTTTATTTTTCTTTACTTTGTGTTGTTGAGTAAATAACACGTCAATAATATTTAGGAGTATAGGACATTTAGCTTTTAATATTTTTAATATATATTTTATTATTGATCAAAATTTATAATAAATTATAAAATCAGAAAAGAGACTTAATGAAATCTGAAATAATAAATACATTTCATTTAATAATAGATAATATATTGAGAAAGAACTTGTCAGAATGTACCATTACTATTTTAAAAAGTCTCCCATTACATTATAATATTTTGTTACACATTTATTTTGTCCTTTTATTCGATATTTTTTTTCCGTTTTTATTATACATTTTTTACATTGTTTTTGATAATTTAATTTTTATTTTTATCTTTCTTTTCTTTAAAATTTGATGAAAAAATGGATTATTTATATTCAATTTTATTCTTGTATATTCAAATTATATATATATATATATATATATATATATATATATATATATCTTTCAAAATAAATTTATCATATAGTCATATCTTATAATTTAAAATAAAAAATAACTTAGATATAAATAAAATTAATGTTATACAACTTTTTTTGATGTTATCAATGGTTGAAATATTGGTGTACCCGGGAGTTAACTTATTTTAATTGTTAAACTTATTTCAATATACATAAAAGTTTTTATATTTTTTAGGATTTATTTTAACTTTAAATTTGACAATTTAAAGTTAAAATTGATAAAAAAAAGAAGCTAAAATAAAATCACTAAGCTCAAATTCATAATGTTTTAGTGAAGTTATTCTTATGAATAAAGTTGAAGCTCATTAAGATTTATTAAAAGACTGAGGTTAGACTTATATTTAAATCTTAGATTATTTTTTAGGTTAAGTCTAAGTTCATTAATATTCAATAAACCTATATCTAAAATCTAAATGGAGATTAAATTTAGTCAAATTCACGGGTGAAAATTAGGATTGATTAAAATAACAACCTTTTTAATTGTTACTTTTTATTTTAATTGTAGTGGTGACATTTGTGATTTCATATAAATAACATGAATAATAAATTATTTATATATATATATATATATATTTACATTTATATATATATATATATATACATATATATATATATATATATATATATATATATATTAAATTTTCATATTGATATGATAAGAAGAGTTAATTATTATTAACAGAAAATATAAACCCATACTTAATTTTTTTTAAGCATTTTACACTCTAATTAAAGAAATGTAGACGATGGTGAGAAGTTTAATAAAAATAAATAAATAAATATTATTATTTTATTCCTAAATATATGTCGGATTTTTTTACTAAAATAGATTGAAAATATTTACATTGGATCAAATTTTTCAAAAATTACTTAAAGAATTAAATCGTGTTATCTTACACGTATTCATAATAAAGAATTAAAATCAATTTTTTTCCAACGAATTTAATGAATTTAAAAAAAAAAACTAAAGTCTACGTGATACAACTTTAGTTACGTTTTTTTAATAATTAAATTAATTTTATTAAATAAATATATTATTTAAAAATTAATAATTTATTATTATATATTTATATTATAAATATTATATTAATTATTTATTTTATTTATATAAACTATTATTTTATATAAATTTTGTGTAGATAAAAAAATATATTAATAAATTAATTTTTAAATTTAAATTATATTATGTTATTTATTTCAAAATTAATAATAAATGTTTTTACAGTTATTTTTAATAAACTTAAATATATTTTGATTTAATTTATTTAAATCATATCTAAATAGGCTTAAGTTAGATTAATATATTATGATCTGTTTATATATTATTTTTTAAATAAATATATATATATATATATATATTATAAATTATTTTAATTAAAATAAGTAAATATAAGAATAAATTAATAACAATTACTTATTCTAAGATAATTAAGAAAAATTATTATTTTAAATCATTATATTACTAAATAATAATAATAATAATTAAATTTTGAACTCTTATTCTAAAATTTAAATAAATTTTTTTCTCTTATAATTTATATATTAAATTATTTATATAAAATAAAAATTAATTTTATTAATATAATTTATATTTATATTTTTATTTAAATATATTTTAATAATTATTTTGATATAGAATATCAATAAATTTTTTTATTTTTAATCTATTCAAGATTATAGTCTATTAACCGTGAACTAAATTTAGATCAAATTAAAAAATAAATTTATTGCTTATCAGTCCTATACTTTCGTCGTATCAAATTAGGTAAAAATAATTGTTGTAGGTCAATCCTACACTTCGTCTTGCATAATAGTAAAATTATGAAAGTTTATTTTAATGAATTAAAATATATTCTAAATTAGTTCTTAGAAAAAAAACTCTAAAATAAATATTAAGCTAATCAAAATTGATGATGTAAATATTATTTTTTTCTAAATTTTTAAAACTTATTAAATAAATGGGAAATAATTAAGAAAAAGACTAAAGTTCCTTGTTTGGCCTGAATTTTTTTGGAAAAAAAAGTTAGGATTCTTTCATTATTAAGATATATATTTTAATGAGATACAATAAATTTTTATTTTATATTATATGATATTTTTATGTAAGAGCCTATAAAATCCATAAATTCTATAAATGATTGAAAGAATTCAAACACTTATTATTAAAAAGTATTAGTTTATTTTGACTTTGATTATTTTAAAATTAAAAAATTAAATACAGAAAACAACATTTTGTATTAAAATAAAAATCAAATATATAATAATTGAATGCATATATAGCATAAAAAAAAAAAACTCAAATTCAAATACTCAACAATAAAATATTAAAAGTATCATCCATTTCCCAATACCTAATTTAAATTATTTTTAAAAATTGTGAAGTATACGTGTTGATTATTCGCAATCTAGTAAATTATCTGGTAATTGATATATATATATATATATATATATATATATATATATATATATATATATATATATATTATGTGTGTGTGTGTGTATAACTTTTATTAATTTATTCAATTGTCGCACAGTAAACAAATTCCTTTAATGTTATCTTTCCGAAGATTAATTGCATGTGTATCATGAAATGCAGTGTGGAAGATAAACTACCACCACCAGGTCTCTGTTTACAAAGGAAGGTTGGCATGATTACCTCTAACGCACAGACAATCAAATGTTCATTATTTTTTAATATTATTCAAAACCTTTAATGGCGTTTATTAACTTCAAAACAAATGAGCCATTCCTAGACTTCAAACCAATAAACATGGTGAATTATCTTATAAATATACTTGAATTATGTCCATTATCCCATAGGGTCTAAGTAAATAAATCACCAGAAGCTATTTTTAACAGCCAGAAACAAGACACAAAGAAGTTAATTATTCAGAACAAGAAAGTGGGAAGTCCTTTTCATTCTTCCGAATCACAATTTATTAAACACGATACAATTAACCGCACAAATTATATTGCATTACATACAGTAATTAACATCAAACCATGTGAAACCACACGCAGACTTATTGGTGGGGGTAAGTAAAATATGAAAATAAAAAATGCAATTGAACAGAATAATCTTTTAAGCACAGATGATTATGGCGTTTGAGTGCGGTACTTGGAGGCAAAGCGATTAACCAACGCAAGAGCATTACTGGTGACTTGAGAAGCGGCCACAACCCTAGACCTAATGGCAGCTTTCAAATTAGCATCAAGACGGGACCCATCAAAGCCGTCAAGACACGTGGCCTGATCAGTTATAGCAGCACTAACCCAAGTCTGGATATTACTCATATGCCACAGGAAATCCTTCCCCTTGGGCTTGCCCACGAGCCCGAGCTCCTTCTCCGATTGGCTAAGACGGTCCACGCCATCATCCATGTTCTCTATGCAATCTCGCACTGCATTGTACACTTTTCCTTTCATTCCCTTCTCCGTCACCATCTTTTTAAGAAACGATGTGCATGAACGAGTCTTGGACACGCTCACGGTCAGGGCAGCCATGGCTAGTTCTTGCTCGCTCCGCCCAATCTTGCTGGCGTAGCCTGAGAGGCTTTGAACGCACACGACGGGGTAGCGCGTGGCCTTGCATGAGGACTTTATGAAGTCTGCTGTCGGGTTTGGGTTGGATCGGTTGATAGTTGCGGATTCTGCGATGTCAGGCATGTGAAGGACGAGATTTAGAACCAGCAGGGAAAGACATAGTAGTTTTGTTGCCATGCTTATGATTTTGTGACGAATGAAATGTTTGGTGCGTATTATGATGTATGTCGTAAAAGATGACAATGTGATGCCCACTTATATAGGGGATTGTAAGAGTGCCAAATTTTGAGTTTTTTTCTTTTTTTACCATAAAAAAGGTGACATGACAGTGTGATATAAAATAACATTATAAAATAAAAATATAACTTAATTTAAATCAGAATCTAAGAGATATCCATGCCAAGGCATTTCCATCTACTGTGTTGTGTTATATATATATATATATATATATATATATATATATATATATATATATATATATATATATATATATATATATATATATATATATATGAGAGAGAGAGAGAGAGAGAGAGAGAGAGAGAGAGAGAGAGAGAGAGAATTCCTTTTTCCATGTTTGTATTGTTAAGTTTAGAAGTAATCTAATTCATTGTACCCTTTATTTTTCTGCAGTGAATACTGGTAAAGACAGAACTTATATATTTCGCATTATTTGAATGCACGTGTTTTTTATTCGTCTTAAGGTTCGTTTGAATAAGCTATTATTAGTAAGATATATATTTTCTATGAAACCTATAGATTATATTTGAAAAAAATTGCAGATATCATTTGTTTTTGAGAAAATATTTCAGCAACATCTCTGTTTGTGATAAAGAAAATGGATGTCTCTTTCAAATAAATATTCCTGAACTTAAAAAAAATGATTAACAATCCAAATAATTAATAGATAATCGAAAATAAACAAAAATTTTTAATAAAAAATTAAAACTTAGGTTGTATGTCTCCCTGCCAAATACTGATTTAAGTCGCTCGTCCACGCCTCCACGGCATTGACTGACTATTGTTTGATTGGATTGGGACCAAATCGACAAATTAACGAAGGAATAAGAAAGTGAGATTTGGTCCACAACCCTAGGTTGCAAGTTGCAAGTTGCAAGTTGCAAGTTGCAAGTGTAAACTTAAAACTACAGATTCATCAACGGGATATTCTAATTGAATAGTATCATGTCAACATTAAATTTTTTTTTTTTTCAATTTTTCATCCCTTCAAAATTGAAAACTATTACTTTTATCTATAGCATTGTATGATATTAATTGATCACTTATGTTGAATAAAAAAATAAATAATCATTTTAAGTGACACATATTAATGTTATAATATAATGTTAGCATATCATATGTCACCTAAAAATAACTCTTAAAATATGTAAATTAAATGCTATTCATTTAGCTTAAAATAAATATTAAACACTGAAATAATGATGTAAAATTTCTGAAGAATGAAAAATAACAAAAAAAATCATGGGATCTAAAATTTTAAAAAATATCACACATTTTATAAAAATTAAAAATAATACTTAATATTTTATGAAAATGAAAAAACAAATAAATTTCCTTTTAAATAAACTTAAATAAAAAATTTACTAATTTTATATAGACTAAAAATATATTTTGTCAGGAATCCTGCATCGTTTATGAATCAAAATTAACAGTAATTTATATAAAAAAATAGTCTCAACAAAAAACTAAGAGATATGAAATGAAAGTGAAACAAAACTCGATTTCCGATTCCACTATAAGTACTATTATTCAGGAACATATTATAATATATTTAATTAATTAATATATATATATATATATATATATATATATTAATTAATTAGAATATACATTCATCAACAGAACATAAAAGTTTTGAGGCTTAACATCCATTTGTCAGTGCTTTCTATGACTCTGTTTTATGATTATGTAATTTAAGGATATTACAAATAATAATAAATATATTATCTTTTGAATCAATTTTATTCAAATAGTCACACTATTTCTATAAATTCATTGTCTTGAATTAGAAAGAGAAAGTAATTAATTTAAGGATATATTTAAAAGAAAATTAATGTTTAATTAAAAAGCGAGAACCTCAACTTTTTTCAAAATACTTATTTAGGAAAATTTTATTTCCTGTCTTTTGAACGTAGTGTATGGTTCTGTTGCATAAATAAAAAATGTAACACTTCTTATTTTAATAAAATATTTATAAGAATTTTTATTTTATTCTTCCCAGTTATATTTCATAATATATATATATATATATATATATATATATATATAGAGAGAGAGAGAGAGAGAGAGAGAAAAGGATGATAAAAATATTAATTAGTATTATCTTGAATTTGATAATAACAATTAAAAAATCTTAAAAATATATACACAAACATAAGAAAACAAAGGGAGTAATTATTAGGACACCAATTTCAAGTTTCATACAAAGATCCAACTCATGGTGAGTACATCTTGTTAAAAATAATAAATATTTAACTTAATTTTACAAAACCAAATAAGGTTTGTATATTAATTATATGTTATAAATTAATTATATTTATATTTTAATTTTGTTAATCTCTATACTACCTTATTTATAGTTCCACCTTTGTATACTATAAAAAATTATCTACGAAAGTATAATCTAATTCAGATGCTAAGTTGGAGATATAACTGCTTTTTACAGGTACCCACCACATCTACTCTGCTTTAGACCACGATCGTAAGAGACTAATTCAGCTTCATCAAGTATGAATACAACTCCCCTTACAAAACCTAATTTATACCACCAGGTTGTGCGATGATCCAAATTATACTTTTTATTCTTTTTAAATTAAGAATTAAATACTAACAAACATACTCAAATGTGAATTGCCACACTATCAAACATCTTGTAAGGTCAGAAAGCATTAATTGTATAAAGGGATATAGAAGTTGACGTCATAACTATGTGTTAATCATTTCATCACTCGATCATAACCAAAATAAACATAGGATTTACTTTTACACAAATTAAATTTATGAAGTGTAAAATTAAGGTTAAAAAGTAATATAAATAAAAAAGTAGATAGAGAAGTGACTTACTATTCAATTTTACAGTAACAAACCATCATGTTTAGTTATAACAATTACATTCAAATTCATAAAAATAGTTATTTGTGATTGATGTCAAATTCATATATTTACATCACTTAATTTTGTGTGTGTGTAGAATATAAAATTAACTATTTCAACCATTTGATTAAAAGCTTTTATAAGTAGATTACAAAAATTCAAGAAAAAAAAAAACAACTTCTTGAGTAGTAAATATTCAACTTTATTAATTATCGGTGGCTACATGCAGAGTATCTCAGTAACTAGCCCAATACAAAGAAATTTATAAAGAAGTTAACGAGTCTCCATTTGTATATTACAAAAAAAATTGTTAATTTGACACAAGCTTAAATATTGTTTTTTACACACGGTCCATTATTCGAATAGTAGTTTAAGTATCTTTGTTATTTTAATAACGTTTATTTTCTCGTCAAATATATTATATGATAATTCATCCTTCATGTTGTAATGATTATTACGTTTAAATTAATTAGTCTAATAAACCTAAATGATTACTTTGTGTATCTATAATATTTCAATAGTGTAATTATATAATTCAATTTTTATATGGAATATAATTATATTTAGTATACCTTTTTTAACACTCTTTCAGTATTTATTTTTAGAGATATTTTTCGTTAACAGTGGTGTCAAGAACTTCAAGGTATAAGAAAAAGAAGATAAAAAATAACGATGTTAGAAACTAGGTTGCATGACAACATGCTAGTGCTCGATAGTAAAAAACTGAATGAGTACAATAGTTGGTGTGTGCAGATGAAAACTATTTTTTGTTTTCAAGAAGTCTTGGATATAAGAGGCTACTAGAGAACCTCGTTGAGGCGCAACATATGATGTTTTGAGAGGAAAAGAAGCGTAATTGCAAAGTTATATAATACATTCATCAGTGTGTTGATGAAAACAACTTTGAGAAGATTTCGTTGACAAATTTGTCGAAAGAAGCATGAGATATACTAATTAACGCACAGTTACGCAAGCGAAGAGAGGTTAAAGGTGGTGCGACTTCAAACCTTGTATCGTCAGTATGAGTTGTTGAGATTGAGACCAAGAAACCATCCAATAATACTTTATAAAATTGTTATCGATCACAAACTTGATGAAGTCTTGTGGTGAAAGTTTGAAAGAACGAGCAGTGGTAGAGAAAGAGCTGAGGACCCTTGATACTATATTCGACATAATTTCTGTAGCTATTGAAGAGTTTAAGGATCTTAATTTGTTGAAACTTGATAAACTACAAGGATCATTAGAGACTCACGAATAATGATTATGTGAGAGAGTGGAAGAAAGGTCCAACACAAAATAGGCGTTGTTAACGAAGCAAAACCAGAAGAATGAAGGAAATCAAGAAAAATTAAACAAGAGAGGTTGATGAAAAGGAAGAGGGAGAAACAATGGTGGACGAGACTTATAAGGGAAACATGAGAGCTCTTCACAATCTATAGCTAACACAGGCAGAAACTCATAATGAAGAGGTGGTCGATGTACGAGTAAGAAAAATATATTATGTTATAACTATTACAAGTATAGTCATTATGTTGTTGAATGTTTAAGCAAAGAACAAGAAGCGAATGTTGTACAAAAGGAAGACTCGGAGGATGAAGTGCTACTAATGGTGACCACGATGAAATTAATGGAAACTTTTGGTGAATCTTGGTATTTGGATACTGGTTGTTTGAATCATATGTCATTTGAAAAAAATGGTTTGTCGATCTCGATGAGAGTGTTAGATCAAAGGTAAAATTTACAGATAATATGATAGTGAACTATGAAGGGAAATGTAGAATAATGATTAGAAGAAGAGATGACAAATTTACAATAATTTCGGATGTACTTTATGTTTAAGCTATAAAGCTCAATCTGTTGAGTATAAGACAACTATTTCAGAAAGGGTATTTGATCGATTGAAGATCGAAGGTGAAAATGTTTTGAATCCTTTATAAGAATGAAACACCGATTTTGACGACACCTCTGAGCAAGAATAGAGTTTTTTTAGTCTATATTTTTAGTATCGAATAACTTGTATTTTGCAATAGTAATCTCATATGACAATTGGTTGTGACATTTGA